TCGCAAAGATTTATTATCCAGAATCTTAATTACCTGTGCTGATATTCTATACTTTGATTTAAAACATTTTGTAACTTAAACGCTTTTTCTACTAATGCTCTAGTCATCACCGCTCCAGTAGATACAAATGCTACACGTTTACCCTGCCTTAAAAACTCATAACCTATTCTTATAGCTTCAGCTCCACTACTCGGATCATAAAGAATTTTAACCGTCTCACCCACACGAGGCTGGTATTTATTATCAATTATGCGAATATCTTCACCATGATATGCCTTAAGGAATGCTAATGTTGATTCATTCGCAAAGGCATCCATGGCCAAAACATGTCTTGCAGATCTTAAGACATCACACATTGTATTTTCAGATTCTTATGCATTTGTACCGCTAAACATTTGGCGCATAATGGCATTGACCTCATCGAGATAGCCACAAAGGGACGGGCTATGAATTCGACACGGAAAAGACTTTCAACCTGTACTATGATAATGTCCCACTCATTTATAGATAAGTCTCCTTGCATATTTTGGTAGTTGCAAATTCGAAAACCCGATGCCTCCAACTCGTCAAGTTTCGCTTTTGATTCATTGCTAAGAGACTTTCGGTAAGAGATCCAGATAAAGCATGGCAAAGAAATATCATGTACTTTATCTTTCAATGCCATAATAATCTCTCTTAACGCAGTGGTTTTTCATGTTCCTGGATGAGAATGAATAAGAGTTGTCATTTTCTCAGTACTCAAGAAATCAAGATATGCTTCGGAAGCATCTTTTAATTTTTCTACATTAATAGCCATCTCTGATAATTCTACAAGAGGGCGTAGATTTGATATAATATCAGCTATTCTTTCGACTATTCCTTGCTTAGGTTTTGCAGAAATTTCTGTCACTTTTCCAAATGCTAATCCCTTATGATCAGGTTTGTATTGTTTTTGCCGATAGTATTTGAGTATAAAATGTCCATCTTTTCGGAGAAAGCCATACAACTGATTCCTTTCATGCTTGATATTGCAAATAGGGCATTCTGTAAATGATTTGGTATGAAAGGTAATAAACCCTTTTTCAGCTTTTCTAATCTCAAGCTATTCATACTTTGCGATAACTAAGCTAGCTCTCTTGTTTAATGCAGTTTCATCTTCGATGGGTTGGAACTCCTCTTTTTCTGATTTTTCAGAAGAAAAAGTTCGGGGCCAGATTTCAGAAGCATCTAACTTAGGTTGAACTAAATAATCTTCTAGCTTGCAATATCCTTTCTTGATCAAAGAAATTGCAGGTCTTTTAACTCTATCTTCTTTAGCTGATCCAAGAAGCCGAAGACTGAAGCAAGACTTATAAAGTCCTATATCAATAAATTCTGAGTATGGTTTCCCAACCCTATCAGCAACTTTTTCTACAAAACCCCTAAGATCTCTATAGTTAATAAAACGTGTATAATTATATACAATATGCCAACTGCATTTGTTAGCATTAGACGAACCGGCTAAAGTAAAAGCATTTAAAGTTACAAAATGTTTTAAATCAAAGTATAGAATATCAGCACAGGTAATTAAGATTCTGGATAA